ATTCCGAATTCCCCACTTCCTCCCTCCGGGGGATTTGATTCCCCATGGCCACCGCTAACAGCATCATCGTGCTGGATGATGATGATGAAGATGAAGCAGCTGCTCAGCCAGGGCCCTCCCACCCACTCCCCACTCCGGCCTCACCCAGGGCAGGAGCCCCTGGCTCCTCCGAGCCCCATGGGGCTGGAGGAAGCAGTAGTTCGGGCGGCAAGAAATGCTACAAGTTGGAGAATGAGAAGCTGTTTAAAGAGGTGAGCCTTAGGGGAGAAGACTCATGTGTCCCAGGGAGGGGGATGGCTGACTGGCTCTCTTGTCCTCTTCTCCCACTAACCTCACTCTCCCTTCTCTCTCCCTCCCTCATCTCTTTACCCTCTTTTCTTCCCCTGAACCCTCCAGTTCCTTGAACTGTGTAAGACGCAGACGGCTGATCACCCTGAGGTGGTCCCTTTCCTCTATAACCGGCAGCAGCGTGCCCACCCTCTGTTTTTGGCCTCCGCGGAGTTCTGCAACATCCTTTCTCGGGTCCTATCTCGAGCCCGGAGCCGGCCAGCTAAGCTCTACGTCTACATCAATGAGCTCTGCACTGTTCTCAAGGCCCATTCAGCCAAGAAGAAACTGAACCTGGCCCCTGCTGCCACCTCCAGTGAGCCCTCTGGGGATAATCCTCCCACAGGCCCCTCCTCAGACCCCACAGATGCTGAAACCTCTGCCTCTGAGGCTCCAAGGACCCGTGGTTCCCGGCGGCAGATCCAGCGCATGGAGCAGCTACTGGCGTTGTATGTGGCCGAGATCCGGCGGCTGCAGGAAAAGGAGTTGGATCTTTCAGAGCTGGATGACCCAGACTCCACATACCTGCAGGAGGCACGGTTGAAGCGTAAGCTGATCAGACTTTTTGGGCGTCTGTGTGAGCTGAAAGACTGCTCTTCCTTGACCGGCCGTGTCATAGAGCAGCGCATCCCCTACCGAGGCACCCGTTACCCAGAGGTTAACAGGCGCATTGAGCGGCTCATCAACAAACCAGGGCCGGATACTTTCCCTGACTATGGAGATGTACTGCGAGCTGTAGAAAAGGCAGCTGCTCGCCATAGTCTCGGCCTTCCCCGACAGCAGCTCCAGCTCATGGCTCAGGATGCCTTCCGAGATGTGGGCATCAGGCTACAGGAGCGACGCCATCTGGATCTCATCTACAACTTTGGCTGCCACCTCACAGATGACTACAGGCCAGGTAGGGGATTAGTAGGATGCCCATCAGTGACCTTTTTATGTCAGGCATGTGGCAAGGGGACATCTCTCTAGTCCTTTTTTCTAGGGTTTGGGCTGAGTGCTTTGACTTTATGTCTTCCCGTGTAGGCATCGATCCTGCATTATCAGACCCCATCTTGGCCCGGCGCCTTCGGGAAAACCGGGATTTGGCCATGAGTCGGCTGGACGAGGTCATCTCCAAATATGCAATGATGCAGGACAAAAGTGAAGAGAGCGAGAGACAGAAGAGAAAGGTCCGGCCTGCCCCAGGCTCCTGTTCCCACTCTGCAGACCCCCCCAAAGCCTCCTTGGATTCTGGTGAGGTGTGGAAGGGGTACACTCTTTAGAGAGCCTTGTTCTTCCCTTGCACTGGCCTCCAGGGAGTCCAGGGTGACTGATGGGGGAGCGTGCAGAAGGAATACAAGAACCGAAACTCACTGGGGCAAGTCATTCCTTAGAAAAACTCCTTTGTCCTTCAGGGCCCTAGTGGCATCGCATCCCAGGAATGCTCTACCACTTCCAAGGCTGAGACGGATGATGATGAAGATGAGGAAAGTGATGAGGAGGAAGAGGAGGAGGAGGAGGAGGAGGAAGAGGAGACCACAGATTCTGAAGAAGAGGAGGATCTGGAACAGATTCCAGAGGATCAGGAGGAAGATGAGGAGGAGGAGGAAGAAGCAGGTATGTCAAGGGAACATTCTCCTCACCTATACATCATCTTTAGGGCATTAGCCACCTGTTTGAGGCCCTTTTTTTCGTTTTCTTATGCCTAATGTCCTCTCGCTAGTATTTTAGACCTGGTTTTCATGCCACCCCTCTCCTTTTCTAGGCAAAGATGGAGGCAAGATCCCCATATCCTCACCACAGTGCTCCACTGAGAAGAACCTAGAACCTGGCAAAGGGATCAGCAGGTCTTTAGAGGAGCAGCCAAACAAAGGACTCAGAGTGTCTCCATCTTCACTGTCAGAAGAGCCCCTCGCCCCCTCTAACATAGATGCTGAAAGCAGTGGAGAAAGGCCTGAGGAGTTGCACCTGGAGGAAGAGAGTCCTAAGTCTCAGCTCTTTGAGCTGGAGATTGAAGCCTTGCCCCTGGATACTACCCCTTCTCCTGAGGAGAGGGATGTTTCTTCTTCCAAGAAGCAATCAGAGGACCCCCTCAGCACTGTCTTGGAGAATGGGGCAGCCATGGTCACCTCCACTTCCTTCAATGGAGGTGTGTCTCCTCACACCTGGGGAAATTCTAGTCCTCCCTGCAAGAGATCTCGGAAGGAGAAGCAGCAGACAGGATCAGGGCCATTAGAAAACAGGTAAAACAGCAGGAGGAGGAAGAGGGAAGCCAAGGAGGGATTGCAGGGGGCTTTCTGAGAGGATTCCCGGGGAACTGAGTCTGTTGGAAGAGACCGGATACTCTTCTCTCCAGCCTCAGGTTCCCCAAACCCCTCCACACATGTATGTTTCTATTCCCACTATGTGGAAAGGCAAAGGGCAGTACATGAGAAGAATGAAAAGAGGATACGCACCCTGCCCAGCCCACCTTCCCCCTTGGCTTCCATGGCCCCGGTTGCTGATTCCTCAACAAGGGTGGACTCTCCCAGCCATGGTCTGGTGACCAGCTCCTTCTGTGGCCGTTCTCCAGCCCGGCTGCCCCAAGCCCTCAAATCACAACCTTCCCAGCCTAGTACCTACAAGGTAAGAGGGGAGGCTAGTTTCCTCTGACAGCTTACTATATCATCTGTTTTAGTCACTCTGAATATTGCATCTGCTACGTCTTTCTTTTTTCCCCCATCTCCATTTTTTAAAAAATTTATTTATTTGTTGTGATTTTGGGGCTCCTGTGTCCAGGACTTGAACAGTGGCCAAACTGTAGTCCAGAGCCTCAACCACCATACTACTTGCTGGCCCCCATCTCCATTTTTAATCCTGAAGTTCTTTCCTTGGCTTTTCCTCGGCCTGTTCTTCCAGCCTCTCTGACTGTCTCTTGCTTCTCTGCAGATGAGTGTGGCCACACAGTGCGATCCGGAGGAGATCATCGTGCTCTCAGACTCTGATTAGCTGCCGCCTTCTCTCCCTGCCTCCAAAATGTCTTGGGATAGCATTTGGAGGATAGTGGAAAGCAAATGACTGAGGAAGGGATGAACTGAGTTAATTCCCTTTTGGTGGTGTTTCTTTAAAAAAAAAATTTAAAAAAAGCTTAAGTTTTACACAGAAACAAAAAACAATAAAGTTCTTTTCTTATTGTATCCCCGTCTTTTCCGTGCCCTTCTGTCACATTTTGGCATCAGCTGTCCCCAGGCTCAGCATTATCCCAGCACCCCACCTCCGTCCCTGGGTAGCCATGGATCTCTGTCCTTTGTAGCCTGGGCGTTGGACACCTGTCTTGGCCGTTTCCTTACCCCAGTCCCTCCTGCTGCCCTCTGCCAGGCACTTTTTGAAAAAATGTGCTTCAACCTCCTTAACGCGTTTTCTCGCTTAGAGTGGTAGGAGGAAAAGGCCAATCAGGGACCGATGCAAGGTTATTTGGCCAATCCTGGCCTGGAGGGAGGAGGCGGGGCTTCAGCGGGGCTGCCTGGCCGGGAAGGGCGATTAGATATCGCAAACCAGCTAATGGCCACAACTCGGGGGCGGAGCTTGGGGAGCGATGGCCAGGACCCACTGCCAATGGGAAAGGGCAGGCTTACAGAATTAAAGGGGAATGAAAGCTTCGGGCGAACCGGGTCCTGTATCCTCAGCGGAGGAGGGGTCCTGCTACCTTTAAGGTGGAATGGGGTGACAGTTCTTTAAAGGAGAAGTGGTAGAGTCGGCCGAGTATTGCCCAGCAGCACGGGCGGGGGTGCCGGTCTGTGCCTTTAAAGTCGGAGGGCCGGGAGGCGGAGCGGAGGCGGAGGGCGGAGGGAGTCGGCGCAAGATGGCGGCGGGAGGGGCCCAGGCTGCGGCTCTGGTCGCCGAGT